CTATTGTGTGTAATCTTCCTGCCATGCTCCTGATTCACTTCTCAAACACACACACACACACACACAGCGCTCTGTTTTCCTGGACTACTGTTCAAAAGTTAAGTAATTAATTACATTCAGTCTATCACCAGCTGCTCCACAGCAGATGGAACATTTTTAAAACCTTGTTGAATTAAACCCGCAAAATTCATTTGCCTGGATTAACCAAGTGAAGTTTGTGCATGGATGGCTTTGTGCGAGGGGTTCAGGAAGAAAAAAACTAAACAAAAAACAGGTAACAAGATGCTACACGGGTACACAATTACCATGTGAACGTTTTGGTGTTGATTTATTTGGCTAAATGTTTAGCATTACCAAGCTGAACCCAAGTGTTAAGTTGAGGAGTTTTATTCGTGGCATAAACGAGCAGGTCAAAAGGTCACGAAGGTTAAAGCCGAACCCAGATGACCTTCAACAAAGCCGAGGCCGGTGTGCGAGGAAGAGAGGATCTGTTCAGCACCAGTTTGCTGAGCAGCACCATGGACAGTTCCCTGATCGCTCACATGACTGGATGAAACTGTTGCGCTCCTGTAATAAGCCTGACAGCAGAAGATAAGACATCATTCAGCTTGCTTAAGTGACACAATTCTCACTGGTGAATAGAGATAAATAACAAAAATTGATGCGTTTTAGTTAAACGTTCTGTTTAGATTAACAAAATCCTGGCTTTTTCACTCAAACATTAGTTTATGAAGATTGTCTTTACGTAGTACAGTAATATGATGATTCATTTGTTAAAAACGGCAAAACATTTTAAGTACTAAATATTTTTGGCCTGAGAAAAAGTTCTTGTGTGTTCAATGAAAATGAACCTGTTGACATGAAAGTGACTCCAGAATTCAATTTCAATTTAGAAAATTCAGCTGACGCGTGAAAGTGCCCTCAAATAACTATTCATTTGTAAGAATTAAAACTTCCGTCTTAAAGTTTTAAACATAAACCCAATGCTGAAGTCTGTTTTATCCACGTGAACACAGATCTGAGCTTGCTTTCCGGGTGGCAACCGCTAAAAGACAAACCGAAAGCAAACGCTGTACGACCTAAAGACAGCAGGATGGAAGGCAGTGTTAGCGCAGAAGTTTGAGATGAAAGACAGGAAGGGCTGTGTGTGCTCAGCTGCTGTACCGAAAGCCCAAGCTTTGTGCTAACACACAATGCTAACACGTCTAAGACTGGCTTAAACCCTCCGGCACACGCGCAGGGACTTTCATTTAGGTAGACAACATCTACTGTTATCTGTGCGATTTCAAAATAGGCCATTCTTCTTCAAACACACATCTGCCCTTCTGAATCCTACAAGTCGCTTTCAGCAAACAATAAAACTGTATTTTACTTCATCAAACAATACACGGATCTTTTATTCAATTCTAAAATTCCCCATTCAAAACTTTTCTATTCTACAGCAACACATCCTGTCAGCTCCATTTGATCCCCAAACACGAGACGGCTACAGCTACTGTCACGGAAGAAAACAAACAAACAGCGTAGCACCAACCTACTTGACTGCTGCTGAAAGTTAGCTGCGGATTGCGTGGTCCCTGCTCGGCTGATGCTCTAGCGCTGGAGCCGGTGGCTTTTGAAAGGTAGTCCCCAGGAATATGACACACTATGTCTGTGACAGCCCCGAGATAAGCACCTGCGTTCTGCTCTCTTTCTACGTCACACCTCCCTATTCACAAGCTCTCAAAATGATGCACATTTGCACATCAACAGCAACCCCTCCACTACCACACACACACACACACACACTTCACTCCACTCCCACATCCGCAAAACATAAAAAGCGGCGAACAGAGGGGAGGAACAGACAGGTTTTTTTTCTCTCTCCACATGCACACACTGATTTATCCTGCTCTTCCTAACATGTGCACGCAGGTGCGTGTTTGCTTTGAATTGCGTCTCTTTAAAAAGCTAAACTTTCACGCATATATTGTTGTGATGGGGGTTTGGGCATATGTCCTTCTAAACACCCCCCTTTACCCCCATCCCACTCCACCCACAATCTCTCCTCCCCCCATATCAGTTACCATGCAAATGAGATGGAATGTCAGCCTTCGGTAGCAGATGGTCAGAGATGATAACAATGGCTCAACAGACCAGTTCCAATGTCTGCCACTTTATTGCTACGGAAACAACAAGCAGAAGTATATGTAATGAGAGGTCGGCCTGGTGGATGTTTTTTCCTTATTTGCACTCCATGCCCTTTCTGAAATGAGTCTTACCCCGGGTTTTACGGTATTATGTGTGCCGGGTCGTTCTGTGAAACGGATGAGGTGATTTTTAACATTCATTTTGTGAGATTGTGAATTATTAATCAGATAAACGATGCGTTTTAGTGTTAATAAATTGCTGTTTTAAAGTCGGCATGAAACGTAGGTTATTATCGTGACAAACAAGGGGCTTCATTTTGTTCATGGGGAACTGATTGATTCATTGGATGGTTGTGGTTTGCTATTGGTGGATCTCATGTGAGTGACAGGTTGCCCCGCCCTCGCGCCAGTAAACACATCATCAGAGAAGAGAGGAGATGATGAAAGTTATTTTGGCTAATGATTATGAGGGCACATGAATTAAAAAAATAAGATAAAATTTGATATACTGTACACTCTAAAAAATTCTGGGTTGTTTTAACCCAATTTTGGGTCAAATATGGACAAACTCAAACATTGGGTTAAAAATTTAATTTAAAAATGTAACCTAATGGCTTGGTTTGTCCATATTTGACCCAAAATGGGGTTAAAACAACCCTGCATTTTTTAGAGTGTATATTACTTTCAGCATATTCATAACGCCAACCATAAAGCCTTAACCCTTAAACCTCAAAACCAAAATTATAATGAGGAAAAGGAACTATAAAAGTAAGTTTTAGTATAATCTCATATAAACAAATAATTACGAGTTACCACACAAGTGGATATACTGACAAACTGAAAACTTGAAAATTATGAATAGTTCACAAATATTCACTATTATTACTAATAAAAATATTAGTAACATGACATTTTAAGATTAGTGTATAGAGATTATATGAAGGGGGTGCCTTTTCCAGGCTTTCTTTTTTAATAAATCATTTGAAATATTATATGATATTAATGTATTGATAAATTGCATTGTACATAATTATGCTTTTAAAGATATAAATGCAGTTCTACCATTAAATTTGACCTTACAAGACTTGAACATTTTCAATGATCACGTTTATTATAATCCTATAGAGTTTATGTATCTCCGCCTGTTTTCCGGTTCGCATTTTCACAGTATGAAGTTAAGATCTTACAGATTTATGAATGAACCGCTCGGTCAACTAACATCTGTTATGACATCCACTTCAAATATTACGATTCTCATGATAACGTTCGTTAACTCTACAATAAGTAATCCACTAATTACTCCAGCTAATTACTCTTTAACAACGATGCCGTAGAAATATACAGAGCACAGAATTGTAAAGGTCTTGTTTCTCTGGTGCATAAGGGCTATGAAACAAATACTCCTCTTCTGACAAATATAACAAGTTATTTTGACAATTTTTTTGTATTTTTTATAATCAGTAGTGCTATCAAATCGATTAATCGCGATTAATCGCACCAAACAAAGTTTGTGTTTATATAATAGGTGTGTATGTGTGTGTGTGTGTATTAGGGCTGTCAAATGATTAATCGCATCCAAAATAAAAGTTTGTGTTTACATAATATATGTGAGTCCACTGTGTATAATTATTTTGTAAATATATAAATACACACACATGCATGTATATTTAAGAAAAAAATATTAATTTATATATAAAATATTGATATATATATATATATATATATATATATATATATATATATATATATATATAAAATAATTCTACACAGTGCACCCACATATATTATGTAAACACAAACTTTTATTTTGGATGCGATTAATCCTTTGACAGCCCTAATATATACAGTACACACACACTGTATATAATGTACATAAACACAAAAATATTATATAAACAAACTTTTATGTTAGACGTGATTAATTGCGATTAATCGATTGGACAGCACTAATAATCGATTGTTTATGTGAAAACAACATCTAAAAAAACTTTATTTCCACATTAATTGTTTAAAGTAATTGTAAAGCTATCCTAAAATGGGCTATATCACACAGAGACACAAATGTCACTGGTTTTGTAAATAATGGCCCAAGGGTTTAATGTTGTTTGGTGACTTAGAGAAGCAGGACTAGTAATTACAGGAGTGATGAGGTGTAATTTCTCCCTGTAGACTATCACGTTTGAGAAAGGTTGGGTAAGGGGGGCCGCGTTCACAGGGTGTGACGATAAAAAACCCAGAGGCAATGATGTCACGGCACTCCTTCAGCCCGCTGACTTTTGTAAACACACACGCGTGCAAATGTACACCCATCGGCGAGAGCAAACAGCGAGTGAGCCTTTAACAAACAGAGTCTGGATTACAATGACAAAGAGCGCCACACTTCTGGAGGGCGAGGAGAGGGTTCGAGGGGGGACGCCCATGGCCAAGTCCTCAAAATGAGTGAGGGGCCCACAAGATGCTCCCATCTGACGTGTCTCTGTGTGTGTGTGTGTGTGCGCGTGTATCCCTGCCAAGACCCTTTCAACACCCTCCTTCCTCGGGTTCAGAGAAAGCTCATATCTGTTTTGTTCTTCTCTCAAGAGGATAAGGCGCAAGCACAATGTCCGGCGAGTTTTTCATCAGCCGAGCGTGAATTTTGAGGAACAGAGACAGAAGGGCAAGTCATTACAAAAGGTTTGGCGGTTGATCTTGTTGTAGATTTCATTTGAAAGTCTAATTCCGCAACTGCTTTCGGGGAGGTTTGTCACTTCTATACGTGTGAGGGGACAGATTGCGAGGCCGTCGGACGCACTTACAACATTAAACTACATGTTTCTTTCTTCCGTAATCTCCCGCAACACAAGTGAGGAGTTGTCGCTACAAGCGTCTTACTTAATGGAAAGCCTGTCTCGGGTGTCCTCGAAGATCCAAAGACCTGGCAATCTGATTTCCAGTGCATTCGGTCAAGACGTCGCTGATCTCTCGTAATGTGCCGAGACAGCTGGCGAAAGAAAAGAACACGACACGTAAATAAGTTTTAAAAGGGATCAGCTTTGTTACAACAGTCTTGATGAATCGAAACGTCGGTGGACACGAAACAAAGAAAATCCTTGCACTTGAATATTCTGTTGCTGAAACAAGTATAATATTTAATGGTGAACATCGAGGGCACCAGGAAGTGAATAAAAGTGCATTCTGGGTGTTTGATTTGGGGCTTCATAAAAAAAAAAAACACACACATGCCACAATAGGTGTATATTAGAGGGAAAATTAGAGCTAAAGTGGGCGAAATGAAATGACATGTCACACAAAGGTCTGCGTTTTTTAAAAGTACGCTGCATGTTTGGAGAAAATGTTTGATTGCGTTTATAAAAGTATCACACTGGGTCACACATAATGTCTAAAAGCTTTTTGCATTAGTCCGCCAATTATGTAAGCAAAGTTAAATGCATCTGGAACCTGTTGTTTATGTGCCTTAGTCAATCCTACACCCGCTATGACAAATAACTCCATACTTTAGATAGAAATGCTTACTGTGCCACATTTACTGCAGTATTTTGAAGATTGTTCCAAACATTTTGAAAGCTCAATTACACAGCTCTAATCCAGTGAGCTCAAAAAAATATATGCGACAACAACGTGGACATCATTTATTAGCACCTAATAGTTGATGAAAAAAGAGAATTGTGTGATTGACTCACCCTCATGTTGTTCAAAAACAAGTATGGCTTTCTTTCTTGTGTGGGACACAAAAGGAGATTCGCACTTCTCTGTTCCATACAGCTGAAGCATAAAGCGACCAAGGGCTGTCAAAAGGCCTCTAAAAAGAACAAAATTGCACCATAAATTTAGGTTTTATGACTGTATTTCATATCATTAAAAGTCATCATGTGAAATTATTCAGTGAAAATCTTCAATAACTTTTTACATCCATTAGAGTTGGCAAATTTAATTGATGCTTCTGCATATTCATACTGAACGTTTTGTGATTGGCAACAAGACCTGTGGAACGATTTTTAGATATTCAGTGAATACATAAAAAATATATAAAAACATAAAGATTTGAAACATAAAAATTAGGACATCTAGGCTTGTATTGTGTGGAAAAAAAGCTTGATAAAAAAGGCTAAGTAATTATTAAAATATTATTAGAAAATATTGAGTTTGAATTTTAGTATGATTTATTTTTTTACTTTTCAGTAAGGATGCATTAAATTGATCAAAAGTTACAGTAAATAGATGTATAATGTTATAATAGATTTCTATTTGAAATACATGGTTTTATTAAAGAATTCTGAAAAAAAAAAAATATTGTATCACGGTTTCCACAAAAAAAGCAGCATCACGACTGTTTACAAAATTGATAATAATCAGAAACATTTCTTGAGCGGTAAATCAGCATATTAGAGTGATTTCTGACAGATCATGTGACACTGAAGACTGGAGTAATGATGCTGAAATCAGCTTTGCATCATAAATTACATTAAAAATATATTCACATAATAAACAGTTATTTTAAATTATATTAACATTTCACAATTACAGTTGTACTGAACTTTTGATCAAATAAATGTAACATTTGTATAGCATTTGTCACAAAATGCAGTTTTACAGCCATTAAAAACACGTTCCCAGTTTGAAAACCCCTGAACTACAGCCAAGGTAGGTTTTATGGACTAATTTACTCATTTTATGCTGCTTTTTTTTCTCCTTTTGGTAGCTCCAGCCCCCATCCATTTTGACTGCATGAGCAGCATGAACATTCTTCAAAATGTGTCCTTTTGAGTTTTACGCAAAAAGTTGAGATTTGAAGCAACACGAGGGCGAGTAAATGAGAGCATTTTCATTTCGGGTGAACTACGAAGGCCTAAAAAGAAATGTATCACACACACAGCGCCATTGTCGTCATGACAAACTCCGCTTTGCTCAGGTGCAGCAAATTGTCTTAACAAGGCGCATAATAAGTGGAATGGAGTCCATCTGTGTCCACTGATAGTGTGTCAAATGGTTTAAAAACACCTGTGAGAGAGACTCACCTGTCCATGCCTGCTTTCTCAATCAAAGCATGAGCGTCCTGAGCAAATGCTAATTATAGGATGCCAACCAATACCTGGAGAACAGCTTGATCGGATTAAAATAATTGGCAGATCATTGGATATGTAGGAAAATGTCAGTGACACTGACTCCTGCGTTTTGGATTCGAGGTTCGCTTCAAGGTTTCAAACTATAGGACTCACATGTGCAACAAGCTGAAGTCCTCCAGGGATGTTTGCGGTGTGTTGCTGCTGTGGACCTGGTTAACAAGGTGGTCTCCAGCATCGCCTGAAGTGATTATCTATGCCTTCCTAACTAGGAGCCTCCATGGACCTGTGGGCAGAATAGCAGATGTGCACTCATATTTGGGTAACAGAAATCCAAATTCAGTCTAGATGCAATGCAGGAATACTCCATTGTTTGACACATCTGCCCAAAATAACCAATATCACTGCTCAACCGAAAATGTAAATGGTCATTATTTACTCACCCCTCTTGTCGTTCCAAACATGGATGACTGGCTTACTTCTGTGAAACACAAAAGAATTTATCAATAATGAATGTGTATATATGAAGAGTTCAGATGCAAAAGCCTCTAAGTGCCATTTGAAATTTTCTTCTAAAATGATCATTTTTATCAAGCTTGTATATTTAAGTTCAGTGATTTCACTTAAATGGCAATGATAATTACCTATTAATTGTTATTTAAGTGAAATTACTGAACTTAAATATACAAGCTTGATAAAAATGACCATTCTAGAAGAAAATTTCAAATGGCATTTAGAGGCTTTTGCATCTGAACTCTTCATATACAGTATATATTTTGTTATTGGAAGGAAAGATTATCAGAAAAGAGCAACATAAGCATAAACATCCCGTTTCTCACACAAAATTATCATTGAGGCTTAAAGGGATTCTCCACCTTTTCTCCCCCAGTCGAGTTTTACCGTTTTCGAATCCATTCAGACGATTTTCTGATATTTAGAAGAATACCAGTAACCAGACCCATTGACTTTATGGACCAGAAACAGATATATTCTTCTAAATATCAGAAAATCATCTGAATGGATTCGAAAATGGTAAAACCCGACTGTTTAACTCTGAGGGAGTTGTGAAATGAGCCTATTTCCAAAAAAAGTGGAGTATCCCTCCCTTTAAGAACACTTGTAATGAACCCATGAACCGAAAATTGGATAAACTAATCCAGCAAGTAGTCATACAGATAATACAATGATCGTGATCAGTAGCTCTGATACAAAACCTAGTGGGATGCATCCTAACAGAAATTGAACCTCATAAGGGTTTGATTTGCAAGATTATACTATAAAAATAAAGTGCACCACTCAAATAACGCTCTTCGTGTGAATTGCATGGTTTCAACACAGACATTTGACGTTAGCATGCTGCTAATAGAGTCTGACGCTAAAAACAATACACATAACACTCAAATATTGGTACAGAAACCTCACTGTAAAATCTAAAGTAAACATTAATAATACGACCTGATATGAAACTAGCTTGTACTTTATACTTGATATGAACTGTGACCTGCTGGAAGACAATATACAATCCCACGGTGTAAATTGAATATGTTGGAAAAACTCATTTGTACCTCCATTGATTAAATTGTCAAATAACTACAAGTAATTTTGCAACTACATGTTAACTAACTCTCATTAGGAGACTGTAGTAGGGTTAAGTGTTAAGGTTTGGCTTGGCAGAATAAGTTGCATAGTCAGTAGAATGTCTGTTTATCAAAGTAAAATGTTATCAGATATTAAGCAGACAGTCTCCTAATACTCTAATGACTGCTAGTTACAATGGTAAATGGACTGCATTTATATAGCGCTTTCATAGACCTAATGGCCACTAAAGCGCTTTACATAATGCCTCACATTCACCCATTCACACACGTTCATACACCGACGATTGAACCACCAACCTTTCGGTTTGCAGACAATCCACATGAACCACTGAGCCACTGCCACCATCGAAATAAAGTGCAACCCAATCGTGTTGCAGTGTTAATTTTGACAGCAAATTTTGATTTAGTTTTAGTCTTTTGACTAAAATGCAATTTAGTTTTAGTCATATTTTAGTCATCTGAATTGTTTTAGTTTTAGTCGACGAAATTCAATACGATTTTAGTCGACTAAATCTACATTAGATTTAGTCGACTAAAATATAATGGGTTTAGTTAAATTGTAATGCATTAATTTAGAATTTAGAACGGAAGAATTCTATTTAGAAGAATTACGGAGGAATTACTAATAGAAGAATTATGGATAACCGTACCGAATAAAGATCTTTTTTGCATCGTCACTCTTATTCATATGTATATGTCTGCTCTACTCATTCTCCCAGACGTTCGCATTTTTTAACGTTTTATGATCAGCACGTTACAGTACAAATGTGCGCATCTACCACTCACGCAGGACATCAGCTCTGACTGGATCGCTTCCCAAATCGTCACTATCTAACATTTTCGTCTAGTTTTTGTTTGTTGACGAAAATGTCAATCGATTTCCGTCATAGTTTTTGTCATTCAAAATTAGTTTTTATTTAGTTATCGGCTCATTTTCGTCTGTGAAAAAATGTCGTTGACGAATCATTTTCGTCATTATTTTCGGCAACGAAATTAACACTGTCGTGTTGTATTGTATTGTGGGAGTTTGTAAGAGTAACAGGTGAGGTAGAAATGCCAAAAACTCCAAACTACATTTTCCCAAGTGTATTTCTATTTTAATTTCAAAATAGTATAGCCTTTAAGTATAATATATTATAAATATATTCATAATGTACTTTGTAATGCATACCTTTAGGTATGAAAGGTAAAAAGCCTTCAGAAATTGGTTGTTTGTCATGTGTTTTAATGCATTATACTTTCTAAAGGTGTTAATGAAGATACAGATGTGGTTACAACTGTTCATACAATGCATTGTATAATGAATGCATTACAAAAAAATAATATTTAAAGGCTTCAAGTAATGTTTTACCCATATTTTCACATATTTCATATTCATATTTCTCTCACCATAATAGAGTTTGCCGCAATGCACTATGGGATTGGCTTCTCCATTAACTAAAATGAGATATCTTAGAAGGCAGCATGATTTAGCTCCCGTCTAGGTAGTCAGCTCACTAGGATTTGGGATAGAGCCATGTCATCACATGATCAATATTAATATGCATGCTCTGACAATACAATTTCCCTATAGCAACCTTCCTCACCTCTTTAAAAACAATCAATAAAAACACAAGAGGAAGCGAGCACAGTGGACGTCAAGGATTACCAAATGTAAATGAGTATACTTTGATGCTGACTGTGTGGGATGGGATAAGATTTTCTTTACTGTGGGATTTACTGATTCCTCAACTTCGCAACAGCAGAGGTTAATCTGTCTTAGACATATTGTACAGCGTTTTTACATGCGCAATATATCCGTGATATTAAAAACTCTCCTAACAAACTGTGTCTTTCCATCACGTCGAGATTGGTCTTTAATACTGGAGCGCTACAATGGCGTGTTGAGCCCTGCGCTATTCAGTGGCATACTTGAGAGTCCAAATAACCCTCTTATTAATGTGGATGACAATGTTTTGATTGCATCCAATATGGCACACTGAATCAGCATGCAAATGCCCTTTGAGCAAAACAAAGACATTGATTATGAGGTAAGTTTCTTCGGCACAAGTAGCCCGCTTGGTGTGATTAATCGGCCTGTGCCATTGATTTCCCTTTGTTTAG